CTGTCACCTGTCACCTGTCAAGTGTCACCCAGCGGCTGCAAACCTTACTTTTAGTGTGTGTGTGTTTGTTTACTTGTTGCGTGTGTTTGTCTATTTAACTAAGAGCTGAAGACTTCATCTGGAGGATTGAGTCAAGCTCTTGGCCCAGGCATTCCAAACCACTAAATTACCAGGACCATTACCAGGATGCAACCCACAACAGCTCCCTAACTCCGATGTTTCTATTTACGGTCAGGTGAAGATATGCACCATCTTCCAGGGCCGTGAGGTTCAGCTCCCTTAGCCTTTCCTTGTAGCTCATACCTCTCAGTTCCGGGACCAGCCTGGTGGCATACCGCTGAATCTTTCCTTGTAGCTCATACCTCTCAGTTCCGGGACCAGCCTGGTGGCATACCGCTGAATCTTTCCTTGTAGCTCATACCTCTCAGTTCCGGGACCAGCCTGGTGGCATACCGCTGAATCTTTCCTTGTAGCTCATACCTCTCAGTTCCGGGACCAGCCTGGTGGCATACCGCTGAATCTTTCCTTGTAGCTCATACCTCTCAGTTCCGGGACCAGCCTGGTGGCATACCGCTGAATCTTTCCTCGTAGCTCATACCTCTCAGTTCCGGGACCAGCCTGGTGGCATACCGCTGAATCTTTCCTTGTAGCTCATACCTCTCAGTTCCGGGACCAGCCTGGTGGCATACCGCTGAATCTTTCCTTGTAGCTCATACCTCTCAGTTCCGGGACCAGCCTGGTGGCATACCGCTGAATCTTTCCTTGTAGCTCATACCTCTCAGTTCCGGGACCAGCCTGGTGGCATACCGCTGAATCTTTCCTTGTAGCTCATACCTCTCAGTTCCGGGACCAGCCTGGTGGCATACCGCTGAATCTTTCCTTGTAGCTCATACCTCTCAGTTCCGGGACCAGCCTGGTGGCATACCGCTGAATCTTCTCTAACTTCGACTTGTGTTTAACTAGGTATGGACTCCAGGCTGGAGCTGCATACTCTAGGGTTGCTCTGACGTAAGTGGTATACAGGGTTCTGAAAGATTCCTTACACAAGTTTCTAAAGGCAGTTCTTATGTTGGCCAGTCTAGCATATGCCGCTGATGATATCCTTTTGATGTGGGCCTCTGGGGACAGGTTCGGTGTGATATCAACCCCCAGATCTTTCTCTCTATTTGACTCTTGCAGGATTTCACCTCCCAGATGGTACCTTGTGTTCAGCCTCCTGCTCTCCCTTCGCCTAATTTCATCACCTTACACTTCCCTGAGTTGAACTTTAACACTCACGTTACACTTCAGTTCAAGAAGCGAGAAGGGTTATTCAATCAAATTCAATTTCAACAATAAGAGGATCGACTGTTAAAAAAACAATGTATACCTATACCAGGGAGCCGGTCGGCCGAGGGGACAACACGCTGGACTTGTGATCCTGTGGTCCTGGGTTCGATCCCGGGCGCCGGCGAGAAACAATGGGCCGAGTTTCTTTGACCCCTATGCCCCTGTTACCTAGCAGTAAAATAGGTACCTGGGTGTTAGTCAGCTGTCACGGGCTGCTTCCTGGGGGTGGAGGCCTGGTCGAGGACCGGGCCGCGGGGACACTAAAGCCCCGAAATCATCTCAAGATAACCTCAAGATAACCTTATAACCATTCAATGGGAGACTGTCTTAAGCGACAAAACTCCCACTCAAGGAATAGCTCAACTGACAGCTGAAGCTTGAGGTTATCTTGAGATGATTTCGGGGCTTTAGTGTCCCCGCGGCTCGGTCCTCGACCAGGCCTCCACCCCCAGGAAGCAGCCCGTGACAGCTGACTAACACCCAGGTACCTATTTTACTGCTAGGTAACAGGGGCATAGGGTGAAAGAAACTCTGCCCATTGTTTCTCGCCGGCTTACAATAATAATAATAATAATAATAATAATTTTTATTTAGGTAAAGGTACATACATAAGGAGATTTTACAAAGTTTGTTGGCTTTATAGATAGAGCTAGTACATACAATGCCTAAAGCCACTATTACGCAAAGCGTTTCGGGCAAAGGTCTGCTTGAAGCACGTGCCTGTGAGGAGGGCAGAAAGAGGACCACCCTAGAGAGAGAACGCGGACCACTGTACAGGAGGAGAAAAACACATGTATATTTAAGCTGACAAGCCTCTCACAAGAAATGAAAATAAATCTAAACTAAGAAATCGAAGAAATAGAGCAGATGCAGTGTGTGTGTGTGTGTGTGTGTATGTGTGTGTGTGTGTGTGTGTGTGTGTGTGTGTGTGTGTGTGTGTGTGTGTGTGTGTGTGTGTGTGTGTGTGTGTGTATGTGTGTGTGTATGTGTGTGTGTGTGTGTGTGTGTGTGTGTGTGTGTGTGTGTGTGTGTGTGTGTGTGTGTGTGTGTGTGTGTGTGTGTGTGTGTGTGTGTGTGTGTGTGTGTATGTGTGTGTGTATGTGTGTGTGTGTGTGTGTGTGTGTGTGTATGTGTGTGTGTGTGTGTGTGTGTGTGTGTGTGTGTGTGTGTGTGTATGTGTGTGTGTGTGTGTGTGTGTGTGTGTGTGTGTGTATGTGTGTGTGTATGTGTGTGTGTGTGTGTGTGTGTGTATGTGTGTGTGTGTGTGTGTGTGTGTGTGTGTGTGTGTGTGTGTGTGTGTGTGTGTGTGTGCGTGCATGTGTGCGTGCATGCGTGCGTGCGTGTGTGTGTGTAATTACCTAAGTGTAGTTACAGGATGAGAGCTACGCTCGTGGTGTCCCGTCTTCCCAGCACTCTTTGTCATATAACGCTTTGAAACTACTGACGGTCTTGGCCTCCACCACCTTCTCACTTAACTTGTTCCAACCGTCTACCACTCTATTTGCGAAGGTGAATTTTCTTATATTTCTTCGGCATCTGTGTTTAGCTAGTTTAAATCTATGACCTCTTGTTCTTGAATGCCAGGTCTCAGGAAATCCTGCCTGTCGATTTTATCAATTCCTGTTACTATTTTGTATGTAGTGATCATATCACCTCTTTTTCTTCTGTCTTCTAGTTTTGGCATATTTAATGCCTCTAACCTCTCCTCGTAGCTCTTGCCCTTCAGTTCTGGGGAGCCACTTAGTAGCATGTCTTTGCACCTTTTCCAGTTTGTTGATGTGCGTCTTAAGATATGGGCACCACACAACTGCTGCATATTCTAGCTTTGGCCTAACAAAAGTCGTGAACAATTTCTTTAGTATATCGCCATCCATGTATTTAAATGCAATTCTGAAGATAGAAAGCGTGGCATAGGCTCCTCGCACAATATTCTATATGTGGCCCTCAGGTGATAGTTTTCTATCTAGAACCACCCCTAGATCTCTTTCTTTATCAGAATTCTTTAAAGATTTCTCACATAATATATAGGTTGTGTGGGGTCTATGTTCTCCTATTCCACATTCCATAACATGACATTTATTAACATTAAATTCCATTTGCCAAGTGGTGCTCCATATACTTATTTTGTCCAGGTCTTCTTGAAGGGCATGACAGTCATCTAAATTTCTTATCCTGCCTATTATCTTAGCATCATCAGCAAACATGTTCATATAATTCTGTATACCAACTGGTAGATCATTTATGTAGACTATGAACATCACTGGTGCAAGAACTGAACCCTGTGGTACTCCACTTGTGATATTTCTCCAGTCCAATACATTGCCTCTGATTACTGCCCTCATTTTTCTATCAGTCAGAAAATTTTTCATCCATGATAGAAGCTTACCTGTCACCCCTCCAATATTTTCCAGTTTCCAGAACAACCTCTTATGTGGAACTCTGTCGAAAGCCTTTTTAAGGTCCAGATAGATGCAGTCAACCCAACCATCTCTTTCCTGTAATATCTCTGTTGCTCGATCATAGAAACTGAGTAAATTCGATACACGTGTGTGCGTGCATGTGTGCGTGCATGTGTGCGTACATGTGTGCGTGCATGCGTGCGTGCGTGTGTGTGTGTCTGTCACTTCAGTAAGTACAAGCAGACCCACATTGGCCTAATTTACATACGAAACAAATCTACACACAATATTAGTGAAACAGGACCAGCGGTGCTGTGTGTTCTTATCAGCCAACTGTGCAGGGGATACATAATGTTGTATTATGTATACTCGTGTATCATGCACTAAAGCAATTATTTTGTATTCTGCGCCGTGAATTATACATTTAAACACTACGCGTTTGGTTTATATATTGACTACTGTATTGTGTATGCTGTATCAAGCATAAGATATATCATTATGTATCGTGTGTGTATTTTGGTATATGTATATGTATATATGTATTAGGTGGAGTGCTTAGGTATTAGCAAGGTTAATACTTAATGTATTAGGTATGGTAAAGTCTATGGCAAGGTGTATGGCAAGGTCTATGGCAAGGTCTATGGCAAGGTCTATGGCAAGGTCTATGGCAAGGTGTATGGCAAGGTCTATGGCAAGGTGTATGGCAAGGTGTATGGCAAGGTGTATGGCAAGGTGTATGGCAAGATCTATGGCAAGGTCTATGGCAAGGTCTATGGCAAGGTCTATGGCAAGATGTATGGCAAGGTCTATGGCAAGGTGTATGGCACGATCTATGGCAAGGTCTATGGCAAGGTCTATGGCAAGGTCTATGGCAAGGTCTATGGCAAGGTCTATGGCAAGGTCTATGGCAAGATCTATGGCAAGATCTATGGCAAGGTCTATGGCAAGGTCTATGGCAAGATCTATGGCAAGGTCTATGGCAAGGTCTATGGCAAGGTCTATGGCAAGATGTATGGCAAGGTCTATGGCAAGGTCTATGGCAAGGTGTATGGCACGATCTATGGCAAGGTCTATGGTAAGGTCTATGGCAAGGTCTATGGCAAGGTCTATGACAAGGTCTATGGCAAGGTCTATGGCAAGATCTATGGCAAGGTCTATGGCAAGGTCTATGGCAAGGTGTATGGTAAGATCTATGGCAAGGTCTATGGTAAGGTCTATGGCAAGGTCTATGGCAAGGTCTATGGCAAGATCTATGGCAAGGTCTATGGCAAGGTCTATGGCAAGGTGTATGGTAAGATCTATGGCAAGGTCTATGGTAAGGTCTATGGCAAGGTCTATGGCAAGGTCTATGGCAAGGTCGATGGCAAGATCTATGGCAAGGTCTATGGCAAGATCTATGGCAAGATCTATGGCAAGATCTATGGCAAGATCTATGGCAAGGTCTATGGCAAGATCTATGGCAAGGTCTATGGCAAGGTATATGGCAAGATCTATTGCAAGATCTATGGCAAGATCTATGGCAAGGTATATGACAAGGTCTATGGCAAGGTCTATGACAAGGTCTATGGCAAGGTCTATGACAAGGTCTATGGCAAGGTCTATGGCAAGGTCTATGGCAAGATCTATGGCAAGGTCTATGGCAAGATCTATGGCAAGATCTATGGCAAGATCTATGGCAAGGTCTATGGCAAGATCTATGGCAAGGTCTATGGCAAGGTATATGGCAAGGTCTATGGCAAGATCTATGGCAAGATCTATGGCAAGGTCTATGGCAAGATCTATGGCAAGGTATATGGCAAGATCTATGGCAAGATCTATGGCAAGGTCTATGGCAAGGTCTATGGCAAGGTGTATGACAAGGTCTATGGCAAGGTCTATGGCAAGGTCTATGGCAAGATCTATGGCAAGATCTATGGCAAGGTCTATGGCAAGATCTATGGCAAGGTCTATGACAAGGTCTATGGCAAGATCTATGGCAAGATCTATGGCAAGGTCTATGGTAAGGTGTATGACAAGGTCTATGGCAAGGTCTATGGCAAGATCTATGGCAAGGTCTATGGCAGGTATATGGCAAGGTCTATGACAAGGTCTATGGCAAGGTCTATGGCAAGGTCTATGGCAAGGTCTATGGCAAGATCTATGGCAAGGTCTATGGCAAGATCTATGGCAAGGTCTATGGCAAGGTCTATGGCAAGATCTATGGCAAGGTCTATGGCAAGGTCTATGGCAAGATCTATGGCAAGGTCTATGACAAGGTCTATGGCAAGGTCTATGGCAAGGTCTATGGCAAGGTCTATGACAAGGTCTATGGCAAGATCTATGGCAAGGTCTATGGCAAGATCTATGGCTAGGTCTATGGCAAGGTCTATGGCAAGGTCTATGGCAAGGTCTATGGCAAAGTCTATGACAAGGTCTATGGCAAGGTCTATGGCAAGATCTATGGCAAGATCTATGGCAAGGTCTATGGCAAGGTCTATGGCAAGATCTATGGCAAGGTCTATGGCAAGATCTATGGCAAGGTCTATGGCAAGATCTATGGCAAGGTCTATGACAAGGTCTATGGCAAGGTCTATGGCAAGGTCTATGGCAAGGTCTATGGCAAGATCTATGGCAAGGTCTATGGCAAGGTCTATGGCAAGGTCTATGACAAGGTCTATGACAAGGTCTATGACAAGGTCTATAGCAAGGTCTATGGCAAGGTCTATGGCAAGGTCTATGACAAGGTCTATGGCAAGGTCTATGGCAAGATCTATGGCAAGGTCTATGGCAAGGTCTGTGACAAGGTCTATGACAAGGTCTATGGCAAGGTGTATGGCAAGGTCTATGGCAAGGTCTATGGCAAGGTCTATGGTAAGGTCTATGGTAAGGTCTATGGCAAGGTCTATGGCAAGGTGTATGACAAGGTCTATGGCAAGGTCTATGGTAAGGTCTATGGCAAGGTGTATGGCAAGGTCTATGGCAAGGTCTATGGCAAGGTCTATGGCAAGGTCTATGGCAAGGTCTATGGCAAGATCTATGGCAAGGTCTATGGCAAGATCTATGGCAAGGTCTATGGCAAGATCTATGGCAAGGTCTATGGCAAGATCTATAGCAAGGTCTATGGCAAGGTCTATGACAAGGTCTATGACAAGGTCTATGGCAAGGTCTATGGCAAGATCTATGGCAAGGTCTATGGCAAGATCTATGGCAAGGTCTATGACAAGGTCTATGGCAACAAGGTCTATGGCAACAAGGTCTATGGCAAGGTCTATGGCAAGGTCTATGGCAAGACGTTTCCAGACCACGTCTATATTCATTTCCAGGGAGCTTCCAGGACGTCCTTTTATAACCACTGCCAAACCGTTTCCACGGATTTCTTATTTATACACCCTTCCAGATAGCTTCCAGGGAGTACTATATGACTCTATCCTTTTATCCTTTCAAAAAACCATCAATCATATTTTCCCGACGGTTAAAATATATATTATATATTATATATTATATATATATATATATATATATATATATATATATATATATATATATATATATATATATATATATATATTAGTATATTTTGGTAGCAGTCTTTCCTGTAGACATATATTATTAAATATGACCGAAAAAGTAAGATTAATAATTCTAACACGAATTTTCTCAATCTTTCGTACATTACGCTTCACTGTTGGAGGTAAATCAAAAATCACTTCTCCAAAATTCATTTTTATTTCTAGTCTGACGCGACACGGGCGCGTTTCGTAAAACTTATTACATTTTCAAAGACTTCACAAATACACAACTGATTAGAACTTACGTCTCTCTGATATTATATCTACATTTGAGTGAGGTGGGAAGGATGATGTGGCATTAACACAAGACAGAACAGGGGATATTAATAGGGTATTAAAAGTATCAACACAAGACAGAACAGAAACAATGGGTATTGAATAGAAGTGTTTGTAGAAAGCCTATTGGTCCATATTTCTTGATGCTTCTATATTGGAGCGGAGTCTTGAGGTGGGTAGAATATAGTTGTGCAATAATTGGCTGTTGATTGCTGGTGTTGACTTCTTGATGTGTAGTGCCTCGCAAACGTCAAGCCGCCTGCTATCGCTGTATCTATCGATGATTTCTGTGTTGTTTACTAGGATTTCTCTGGCGATGGTTTGGTTGTGGGAAGAGATTATATGTTCCTTAATGGAGCCCTGTTGTTTATGCATCGTTAAACGCCTAGAAAGAGATGTTGTTGTCTTGCCTATATACTGGGTTTTTTGGAGCTTACCGTCCCCAAGTGGGCATTTGAAGGCATAGACGACGTTAGTCTCTTTTAAAGCGTTCTGTTTTGTGTCTGGAGAGTTTCTCATGAGTAGGCTGGCCGTTTTTCTGGTTTTATAGTAAATCGTCAGTTGTATCCTCTGATTTTTGTCTGTAGGGATAACGTTTCTATTAACAATATCTTTCAGGACCCTTTCCTCCGTTTTTTGAGCTGTGGAAAAGAAGTTCCTGTAAAATAGTCTAATAGGCTTCTCCAATGGTTTCATCGAAGACATCATAAGAAGGAAAGTGAAAAGCCATGCAACCTCTGAAGAGACAACTAACACAACACCTATACCCCCTATTAGACTATTTTACAGGAACTTCTTTTCCACAGCTCATAAAACGGAGGAAAGGGTCCTGAAAGATATTGTTAATAGAAACGTTATCCCTACAGACAAAAATCAGAGGATACAACTGACGATTTACTATAAAACCAGAAAAACGGCCAGCCTACTCATGAGAAACTCTCCAGACACAAAACAGAACGCTTTAAAAGAGACTAACGTCGTCTATGCCTTCAAATGCCCACTTGGGGACGGTAAGCTCCAAAAAACCCAGTATATAGGCAAGACAACAACATCTCTTTCTAGGCGTTTAACGATGCATAAGCAACAGGGCTCCATTAAGGAACATATAATCTCTTCCCATAACCAAACCATCGCCAGAGAAATCCTAGTAAACAACACAGAAATCATCGATAGATACAGCGATAGCAGGCGGCTTGACGTTTGCGAGGCACTACACATCAAGAAGTCAACACCAGCAATCAACAGCCAATTATTGCACAACTATATTCTACCCACCTCAAGACTCCGCTCCAATATAGAAGCATCAAGAAATATGGACCAATAGGCTTTCTACAAACACTTCTATTCAATACCCATTGTTTCTGTTCTGTCTTGTGTTGATACTTTTAATACCCTATTAATATCCCATGTTCTGTCTTGTGTTAATGCCACATCATCCTTCCCACCTCACTCAAATGTAGATATAATATCAGAGAGACGTAAGTTCTAATCAGTTGTGTATTTGTGAAGTCTTTGAAAATGTAATAAGTTTTACGAAACGCGCCCGTGTCGCGTCAGACTAGAAATAAAAATGAATTTTGGAGAAGTGATTTTTGATTTACCTCCAACAGTGAAGCGTAATGTACGAAAGATTGAGAAAATTCGTGTTAGAATTATTAATCTTACTTTTTCGGTCATATTTAATAATATATATATATATATATATATATATATATATATATATATATATATATATATATATATATATATATATATATATATATATATATATATATATATTTTTTTTTTTTTTTTTTTTTTTTGAGATATATACAAGAGTTGTTACATTCTTGTAACAACTCTTTATGTAACAACATTCTTGTTGTTACATAAAATATATATTATCCACAACACTAGAAAGAACAATCGAGAGTCTTGAAAATTCAACCTTCCAAAATTTCGTAACCAATTCATCAATATTCTGAATTTCAGCTTTTATAGAGTCACTACGGGTCTAATTGATTCAGATCAATGTCGTTCTAGATTTGAGGTTTTTGCGTTGGTTAAATATATCTAAGTTTTCCCAGAGAAAGGTGTTGGAATTACGGGTTTCGATCAACCGGCATTCCGGTATTCAATATCCTTAGTCGTCCTCTAAGTATCCTGAGTCGTTCTCTAAGTATCCTGAGGTCGTCCTCTAAGTACCCTAAGTCGTCCTCTAAGTATCCTAAGTCGTCCTCTAAGTATCCTAAGTCGTCCTCTAAGCGTCCCGAAGTCGTCCTCTAAGTATCCTAAGTCGCCCTCTAAGTATCCCGAAGTCGTCCTCTAAGTATCCTAAGTCGTCCTCCAAGTATCCTAAGTCGTCCTCCAAGTATCCTAAGTCGTCCTCCAAGTATCCTAAAGTCGTCTGATAAGTATCCTAAGTCGTCCTCTAAGTATCCTGAGTCGTCCTCTAAGTATCCTAACTCGTTCTCCAAGTATCCTAAGTCGTCCTCCAAGTATCCTAAGTCGTCCTCCAAGTATCCTAAGTCGTCCTCTAAGTATCCTAAATCGTTCTCCAAGTATCCTAAGTCGTCCTCTAAATATCCCGAAGTCGTCCTCTAAGTATCCTAAATCGTCCTCCAAGTATCCTGAAGTCGTCCTCTAAGTATCCTGAGTCGTCCTCCAAGTATCCTAAATCGTCCTCCAAGTATCCTAAATCGTCCTCCAAGTATCCTGAAGTCGTCCTCTAAGTATCCTAAATCGTCCTCTAAGTATCCTAAATCGTCCTCCAAGTATCCTGAAATCGCCCTCCAAGTATCCTGAAATCGTCCTCCAAGTATCCTGAAATCGCCCTCCAAGTATCCTGAAATCGTCCTCCAAGTATCCTGAAATCGCCCTCCAAGTATCCTGAAATCGTCCTCCAAGTATCCTGAAATCGCCCTCCAAGTATCCTGAAGTCGTCCTCCAAGAATCCTGAAATCGTCCTCCAAGTATCCTGAAATCGTCCTCCAAGTATCCTGAAATCGTCCTCCAAGTACCCTAAGTCGTCCTCAAAAACACGAAGGTCTTCCTGGAGCACAAGTCGCTTCTACAAGGTGAGGATCGAGAGTCATTTCAGGTCATCGGCTCCTGGATATTCCCAGTTTCCCAGGACGTGAGGGTCTTAAGTGCGTCTCTTTCAGAGCTGAGGGCTGTGTTCTCCAGTCTCGGAGACTTACGGAGGACGGGCAGGGTGAGAGGGAAGTGCTAAGTGGGTAGGAGAGATGAGGGGAAGAAAG